GAGGAGGAGGAGGAGGAGTGAACGCGGGGCGCTGCGGATTCAAAGTCAGGACCCAACACATGATGGTTCGTATATTTTAAACATATATAGATGCATACGTGTGTGTATATATATATATATATTTGGAGAGAGAGAGAGAGAGAGAGAGAGAGCGATAAAGAGAGAGAGAGAGAGAGAGAGAGAGCGCGCGCCTTGTATGCACCCAGGGGCGACGTGGCTTGCGCGGCTTCCTGGGGGCGTGATGATCTGTGCCGCACCCTGTACGTTCGAGCGGGCGCTGCCACTATGTTGATGGTGCATTGTGTTTACTGCAGTGACGGCCTCTTCAGCGCAAGACCGCTGCTCGTGTGCTGCTAAGCATTGCCAGTGATCAGCATATCGCTCCCCTTCATAATTGTATCGCAGTTGTGCTGCATAGCTCGGCTCTCGCGGGGCAGCGTCGCTGACCCAGCAGACCAGCATGACCTGTCAGCAGCGCGGAGGAGTGGCACGCTGTGCCACGGTCGGCGGCGCGCAAAAGGGGGGAAGTGAGAGGAGGCGGGACTTCTCAGAAGGCGGTGGAGCTTCTCGGAAGTCCTGCGGCCTTTTGGGACGCCCCCCGTGGCTTCAGAGCAGGCTTGGGACGCTCCTTAGGCCTGAAGCCTCTCGAGCCTTCTGCAAGAGGCCCACCCCCCGCTGCCCTTCCCCCCGGCCACGCCGTCGACACAGGCCGTCAGGACGGCCCGCATGGGGACGAGCACGGAGAGCAGCGCGAACCCGATCCGGCGCGTGGTCAACCTGCTCCAGGCCGGCAGCTGCATGGGGGGCGCGATCGTCTCGCTGCTTTCCCGCTCGTCTGTCGCGGTGCCCTCTTCGCAGGCGATCGCAAACATGGATTAAGTGGGCGTGGATTAGCGACGGGTCTCGCTTCCACGGGAAATCGCGGATTTCCGCCGCCGAGCGAGGCGGCACCGGCCGCATTTTGGGGAGGGCACCTCCCCTGATCCATGTTTGCGCGCCCCCGATCTTCCACGGCCAGACTTGGGTCGAGCATCGGGGGCACCGCTGGTCACCGAGCGCGTTCCACTACCTGCAGAGTGCCCACTCGCAAGCGTGCGAAGACACATGTCTTCCTCCAAGTAAAAGAGCGTAAATCACCCGCAGCATATTCAGGCCACTTGCGAGCAGCTGCTTTGCGAGTAGTCGAACGCGCTTGTCGACCTAGGGGGGGGTAAGCTCAGAGGGGGGGATGCATCGACCCCCGTCGCACACTGATCGCTGAGGGGGGCCCAACAGCCTGCTTCGCCCATGGACGTCTGGGTGCGCACTCGCGCCTGTCGCCGATCTGTCGACGATGCATCGCCAACGCCAGGTCGGTAGTTCCCTCCTCGGTCATTCCCCCCTTCGGGTTCCCCCTCGGAGCAGCTTGCTCGAAACTGCATGGGATCCCCTCGGGAGCTCGAGCGGGAGCACCAGCCGTGGAACTGGGACCATGTTTCACCACCACTACCATCTGTAGGAGAGGAGGAGGAGGAGGCGGAGGAGGAGGAGGAGGAGGAGGAGGAGGGAGGAGGAGGAGCGGGGAGGAGGGGAGGAGAGGATGAGGAGGGAGGAGGGGAGGAGCATGAGACAGGAGGAGACAGAGGGAGGAGGGAGGGGAGGACGTATATGAATGAGGAGGGGAGAGCTGAGGCGGAGCGGACGTGAGGACAGGAGGCGGAGGAGGAGGAGCAGGAGGCTGACGGATGACTGCAGGAGAGGATGAGGATGGGGAGAGGAGGAGGGGAGGGGCGGGATGAGGAGGGAGGGAAAGGGAAAAGAGGAGATAGGAGGGGGAAGAGGGGGGAAGAGTAGGAGAGGAAGGAGGAAGGAGTTAGGTGGGAGAGAAGAGGAGGAGGCGCGGATTGGCTGGCGGGCAGCCGGGGCGGAGGAGGAGGAGGAGGGATGGAAATGAGGAGGAGAGGGAGGCAGGAGGAGGAGGATAACGGAGAGGAGGAAGGCGGAGGGGGCGGGAGGGAGAGGAAGGCGGGAGGCGAGGGCCGGAGGGCGGAGGCGGAGGCGGAGGGCGGAGAGCGGAGGCGGAGGCGGAGGCGGAGGCGGCGGGGCCGGAGGGGCGGGCGGGAGGCGGGGGTGTGGTCTGGAGTGGGGAGGAGTAGGCCGGAGGAGGCGGAGGGTGAGGGAGGATGGGCGGGGTGGAGGCGGGGAGGTGTAGGAGTCTAGGATGATTGAGGCAAGAGTAAGGAAGAGGAGGAGGATGGCGGAGGAGCGGGCGGAGTACCGAGGAGGAGGGACGGAGGATGAGGACGGAGGACGAGGTAGGGAGGAGGAGGAGGAGGAGGACCTTTTCCCCCGCCCTACACCTGGTAGGGGTGGTGGAAAAGCTGCCCACCAAGCTCGTGCGTACTGCGTCTCCAGGGGCGCACCCGAATGAGCAGGGGGGCAGAGCGGGCCACCCGCTGGGAAGCATCCGCGGCCGACCTCCGCTGGCTCTTTCTTGGTCGGGGCCTCGCAGCTCGGGGACTCGGCAATCCTTTGTAGGACTTGCACGCTGTTTCCAGTAGCTGCGAGTCTTGATCCTCCTCCTCCTCCTCTTCCTCCTCCTCCTCCTCCTCTTCCTCTTCCTCCTCCTCCTCGTCCTCCTCCTCCTCCTCCTACCTCAACTCCCCTCCTCCTCCCCCTCCTCTTCGTCTTCGTCTTCCTCCTCCTCCTCTTCCCCCCCTTCCTCCTTCCCTCTTTCGTGGTCGTCGTCCTCCTCCTCCTCCACCTCCTCCTCCTCCTCCTCCTCCTCCTCTTGCAAGAAGAGGTGGGGCATGTCGAGTCAGATGCATGTCGAGTCAGATGCGGTACAGTGGGGGCCCATGCCAAGAAACACCGTGCTTGCCTCCAGGGTGCCCTGGGTTTCTTGGGTTTCGGTGGTTTTGCCGTGGAAGGCGTGACGTTCCCGCACCCAAAATCAATGGACGTCCTGGGGTCTCAGGGTTGGGTCTCTTGTGGAAGGCTTCTTGTGGTCGGGCCTCCACTGCAAACCATTTGAGGCCTCTGCCAGCTCTTCTACTCTCTGGGGCCGTTTTGGTGGTTAGGGTCTTCCTGCCTGCCTGCAATGGCTCCCTCGTTCACCACGGACCATTCTCCACTGGGCCGCCTAACGTGTACCGATCAGGAAGGGACGGCCTTGAATCAGATACACCGTATTGTCGGGAACACAGATCCAGCAGAAATCGTGCACATGGCTTCGTCTTTCGTGTCTGGCGCGGCAGCAGCCCTCTCACAGGTAGCCCTCTGTCTTCCAAGGCAGCAGCCCTCTCCGGCCGGTCCTCGCAAGTGTGCCAGAATGAGATCTGTTCCTGCTCTCTCTTCGGCTCGATTTTCTTGCTCGCGACCCTCTCTCCCTCCTGTCCACTCCTGCCCCTCTTCCCCTCCTGGCCTCCCTCCTGCCCCCCCCCCCCTCGCTGTCAGGCGGGGAGCTGCGAGGCCCGCCCCCTGCCCGTCTGGGGTCCTCGGTGGAGGGGCGGACCTACTTTTTTTTTGATCGATGTCCAGTCTTGCGACGGTGTCGCCTTGGCCTGTCTCCCATCAGAAGGCGAAAACCCACCCCCATCCCCAGTCCCGACTCCCATCCCCGAGCTGGGGATTCAAGTGGTCGGGACTGGGGCTGGGGGTGGGTTTTTTCAATCTTTGGGCTCCGAAAACCCACCCCCACCCTCAGACCCGACCCCCTGGATCGCGGGTTCGGGGATGGGGTCGGGACTGGGGGTGAGGGTGGGTTTTCGCCTTTTCATCCCAGCCGCCGGCGGCCTCTGCACTTGCCTGTCGGGTCGGTGCCGAGCACGCCCAGCGCGCAGGCGCCGCCGAGCGAGAGCCCCCTCGCTGCCCGCTCCTGCCCGCCAGAGCCTCCGCGTGCCACCGGCGTCGCCCCAACATACTTCTACTAGATTTACGTCGCCCTCCCAGGGGCGACGCGCGCACCGAGAAATCTTGCAGTACGTGTGTCGTGGCGGGCGCTTTCTGGCCACACCGCTCGGTAGTAAACGATATGCTACAAGATGGGTAGACTAGAAGTTCGGGTCGGAGGCGCGCCTCCAAGGAGGACATATAGTATTAGTATGTCTCTGAGCCCCCGCGTGCCAGCCCTTGACCGCGGCTATCCTAGTGACCCCCTCTCACCGCCTTCCCCCTCCACGGGCCTCCCCTCGCCCTCCTGCCCCGCCTTCGCTCGGACCTCCTCCTCCTCCTCCGTTCCTCCTCTTCCTCTCCTCCTCCTCCTCCTCCTCCTCCTCTCCTCCTCCTCCTCCTCCCTCCTCCTCTGCCCCTCCTCTCCTCTCCCTTCCTCCTCCCCACCTCCTCTCCTCCCTCCTTCTCCCCCTCCTCCTCCTTCCTCCTCTTCCTCCTCCTCTTCTCCTCCTCAGTCCTCCTCTTCATCTTCTCTCCTTCCTTCCTTCTCATCTCGCCCCTCCTCCCTCCTCCTCCTCCTCCTCCTCTCCTCCTCCTCTCCTCCTCCTCTCCCTCCCCCTCCCCCCCTCCTCCCACCCCATCTCCTTCCTCCTCCTCTTCCTCCCTTCTCTCCTCCTCCTCCTCACCTTCGCCACACCGCACACACAGCACCCAACCTCCCACCCCCTCTCCCCCCCTCCTCATCCTCTTCTCCTCCTCATCCTCTCCCCTCCTCTCTTCCTACTCCTCGCTCTCTCCTCCTACCTCCTTCTCCTCCTCTTCCCTGCTCCTCCTCCCTCCCCCTCCTCCTCCACCCCCTTCGCTTCCTGGAGCCAGTCCTCCTCCCAAGCCAGGCTGGAGGGCCGGCGCTTCTTCTCCCCTGTTGATGGGCGTGTTTTCCATCACCACCACCATGAGTTGGAGGGGGAGGGGGTCCTCTTCTTCCTCCTTCTCCTCTTCCTGTTCCTCCTCCTCCTCCTCGTCCTCCTCCTTCTCCTCGTCCTCCTCCTCGCCCTCCACGCCCTCCACCTCCTTCCCCCCTCCAACTTATGGTCGTGGTGGTGGAAAACGGGCCCATCACCTGTGCTGCCCAGGCGATGCAGAAGCAGGTCACGGAGGACGGCGAGAAGGAGGAGGACGCGCGACGTCCTCTGTGCTCACGGGCCGGGGGCTCTTCAGGAGGAAAAGAAACACACAGACACAATTCATCGACGATTCCCAGGAAAATATGGGAAACTATGGGAAGTGGGGGGGGAAGACAAAAACCCATAAACTATGCGAAAATATTGGGAACCCTGTTGTTTGTGCGTATTTGTTTGTGTGTCCCAGGGCCCCTTCAGCTCTGTCCTGCGCGCTGCAGGCCCTGGCCCGACGAGCAGCCTCGCGGGACCAGGGGAGCAGACAGCGCAGAGCAGGCTCTCAAGGGCGCCCTCGAGGGCGCGGAGTTGTTCGCGCTTCGCGCCTCGCGGTTCGGCTCCGATTCCTCGTCCTCCCCTTCTCCGCTGGGAGGCGGCGCGAGGGCGCGAAGTTGGTCGCGCTTCGCGCTGCGCGCAGCGCGAAGCGCGAGGTTGGGGGCCCTTGCGGCGCTCGGTTTGTGGCCCTCTGGCGGGGAGGCGCCTCGGCCCGTGCGAGGGCCGCACGCCTGGCGGGCGCCTGGACGCCAGCCGCAGCCGGCCACCGCCCACCAAACCACCCCAACCTCGCCTTCAGTCGGGCCTGTGCCTGCCTCTACAGGAGGAGTATGCAGAACTAGTCAAACAAGTGTTTGGGGACCATTTTCTTGAGTATCTTTTGGGTATCTTCTATTTTTCGCCCACAATCCGCCTGTGCGGGGACGTGCCCGACCTAAACCTAGCCCGAAGGCCCCGATTTACCCTCCATTCCCAGTGGGGGGGTGTCGGGAAACAGTGGAACACACGTGTGGAACCTGCACCCCCCCAGCCCGAGATTCGGGTCTTCGGGTCAGGCTGGGGTGGTCTGGCAGGTAGTCAGACGGGGGCACAGAGGGGCCGTTGAGGGCCGGCGCGCCGGCAAGCCGCAGACCCAAAGCCATGTGGGCCCCCTGTCAGTCGCCACCTCCGCCGAGGCGGCACGCGGACCTCCGCAGGGATCCCTTCGATCCTTCGCTCCGCCTCTCTGGTGCAGACGGTGTCGGAGGGTGCTCGTTGCCGCCGGGCCAGTCGAGCGTCCCAGCTGCCCACTGACGCAGAGAGCGGATCTCCAGAGGGTCGCCGAGCGCGTCCCACTGCCTGCAAAGTGCCTGCTCGCAGACGTCCGACAAAAGTCAAGCTCGCCTCGATGTCATGGATCGTAGATCCTCCGCGGCGGATCCCGGCCATTGGCGAGCAGCTACTTTGCGAGTGCGGAGACGCTCTCGTCTAGAGGGCCTCTGCTTCTGGGAGGGCGCGCGCGTATCTCCTGCGACGGTCGGGCGGGGCTCCTCGCAGAACCACGGGAGGTCGTGCTTGCCAGCACCCCGCCGGGCTCCGCTGCCCCGGGCTCCACTCGCCTGCTCACTCTATGGGAAGCAGCTCGGTGGGCGCCCCGACGAGAGTCTTTGAGGAAGGGCGCGGGAGGGAGGCTGTGTGCTCCACAAGAGTAAGACTGCGCCTCCGCCCCACTCCAACCTTGTATATATATATATATATTTATGTCTATCTATCTATATGTCTGCCTGTCTGTCTGTCTGTCTGTCTGTCTGTCTGTCTGTCTGTCTGTCTGTCTGTCTGTCTATAGATCTATCTATCTATCGATCGTTGTTCAAGAGGCTCACGCCATTCCGCAGACCTCCAGACGAGGCGTGGAGGCCACGGTTGAGGCGTCGTGAGTTTCTTGGGCATCATGTGGGGATTTTGGTGGGCGTCTTGCGAGCTGTTTTAGGGCGTGGCGGAGCCTCTTGGATACAGTTTTTGAAGCGTGTTGATGGCCGCTTTGGGGCCTCTTTTGGGCCTCTTGGGGCCTCTTCGGGGTTATTGGAGGGCTCTGTTGGGTTGCTTGGGGTCTTCTTGGGGCCTTTTGGGGACCTCCTGGGGCGGAAAGGTAGGATTTTCGGTTCGTGTTCTTCCTCTCCGCCTTTCTTGGGGCCCTATTGCGGCAATATTTGGCCGTCCTGGGCCCCTCTTTCGGCCGTCTTGGAACCCTCTTGGGCCGCACTGGGGCCCTCGTATGGGCCTCTTGGGCAGCGTTGGGGCGGTCTACGGGGCATCTGGGACCGTCTTGGAGCGTCGGAAGCTCGAGAAGACGGACCCCCCAGAAACAATGCTAAACCTATGGAAAACCATAGGTTTTTGCCTGTCTGGGCCCTCTTGGGAAAGCTCTTGGGGCGTCTCGATGGCGTCTTGGGGCGTCTTCGAGCCATCGTAGGCGTCTTGGGCCAATCGCTCCGCGATGAGGAACGGTCTGGGAACGTCTTTGAGACCACAGAAGGTAGATTTGAAAGCTCCGGAGTCTTTGGGGTAACCCGGCTACCCCCTCTTAAGCTCGATTCTGGGCCCTGGGGGGAACAGTCAATCATCTCACACGCCTTCCCACCCCTGGCAAGCGGGGGTCGGCGGATATATCTCGCTACTTGTATATGCAATGTTTCTCGCTGGTCTTGGATCACGAGTCTGTTGTGTTTCTTGTCTTGATCGGTGCTCTTGCCTCCTGGTGATAAGCAATATTTTGCAACCATGGTTGAAACATTCATTATTTTTTGTTTCGTTTGTTTCACAGTCGGAGACTGGTTTACCACCGTGAAGGAACGCCAAACTGTGTGTGATGTCATCCATGACGATGGATGACCCTTATAATTTGTTACGATCGAGCAGTTCAGTACAGCGAATCAATCACTGAGGAAACCTCTGCGTCCATCCTCGGCATTGCCATCTTTCATCTCCCATTTAGGCTCACTGCCATCCGCAAGTGCTTCATTGTCTCCCCCATGCAGTTTCAGAGACACTGGCCGAAATGCATGTGCTCACGAGAAAGCAGAGACAAACCCAGCACGAGAAGTCAGAACACCGCGGTGCCTGCTGCAGATGGCTGCGCGATGCCAGGAGTTGCGGTTGGCCTTGCCCAGGATGTGCAGGAGGAGGAGGAGGACCGGCCCAGCGAGTTTTGTAATGTTGATGCTTGCCGTGCAGCAGGTAGCAGCGGGATCTGGCCTTTCACGCGGTCGACAGAGTGCGCCTTTCAGGGACACGGCTTGCATCCAGCCGTTCCTCTGGTAGCAACTCATGGGAGCTCTGTATATACCCTCGTAATTCCGTCTTTAGCGTCGACCAGCGTCGACTAGCGTATTATGGTAGTGGACGGGATAGCGCCGACTTGATGTCGATTAGCGTCGACCGGCGTCAATTAGCGTCGATTCAGCGTCGACGGACGTCGATTCCCAAGAGATAACGAGACGGTATGGGAGGCTCTCATGAGTTGCCATTGAACATTCCCCAGGAGCTGTACAAGAAGTTCATGTGCTAGAAAGCGGGCTTCCCGCCCCCACCGCCGTCCCGAAGCCCCTGCGGTTGGCCGACGCGACTGAGGCAGACGTCGACGGCGCGCCCGGGGGAGAAGTGAGCAGGGGCGGACCTTCCCAGAAGGCTCGGAAGCCCCCTGGCCTTCTGAGGAGTGGCGTGAGCCTGCCCCGAAGATGCCGCGAGCTTCTCAGAAGGCCGGAGGGCTTCCGAGAAGCCCCGCCGCCTTTCTGAGAGGGCCGCCTCCTACCCACCTGCCCCCCTTTGCTCGCCGCCGAGGACAGGGCCGTGGGGCCCACGACGCTGGCTCCGGTGCTCAGTCTTTCCACGCGTGCCTTAGGGCTGGATCCTCCCGCCCGTCCGCCCGCCCTCGCCTGCGACCGTCCACCCCGGGAGCGACGGCGCGCAGGGGCCCTGGCCCAGCCGGCGCCCCGCTGGCATGCGCCGCCATCCGATCGGCGTCAAACCAACGTACTTATATACTATGTGTGCGTCGCCCCTGCAGGGGCGACGCGCGCACCGAGACATCTTATAGTACACCCGTCGTGGCGGGCGCTCTCTGGCCACACCGCTCGGGAAGCGGTGTGTCCTACGCCGGATCGGGTATACAAGAGGTTCGGGTCGGACGCCGCGCCTCCAGGAGGACATGTCCCATCCGACGGCGTTCTCGTCGCCACAGGCGATCTGGCCGACGAGGGCTCTCAGGCCCTCAAAGTGCGGCCAGGCCTCAGGTTTCTCACCATTCCAGCTGCCGTCCCACACCGATCGGATCTCGCAGGTGCTGACTACCGTAGCATACTCCTCTAGCCAGGTGCCGTCCCATGACAAATCTTGTCTCCCAGGTTCCACAAGTGTGGCATGATTCGGCCCGCTCCAGCTTCTGTCTCACTGCGAATCCGCCCAAACGGGCCTGCCAGGCTTGGTGGCAGGACCATCGGATTCTTCCCGCGGTCGTCAGAGCGCCCAGGGCAGCCCAAGAGGCCTTCCATTTCCCCCCAAGACCGCCCAGAGAGGCCTCGAGAGGAGCCCAAGCCGGCCCAAGAGTGGCTCGACATGGCCCAAGCGAGCCCCAGGCGAGGCTGAAGACAGCCCAAGAGGCCCTTCTAAAATTGCCCAAGTGATTCCAGAGAGCCCCAAGACGACCCAACGAGACCCCCGGAGACGGGCCAGAGAGCCCCAAGACGGCCCCGAGAGGGCGCCAAGACGGCCCAAGAGGCCCCCAAGGCTGCACCACAGCGGCTCCCCCAGAGCCCCAGATGGGCCAGGATGCCCCCCCGCGACGGTTCCACGACGGACCAGATCCAGGGGTCCCAGGCCGGGAACACGACTACAGCACGGGGGACCGGGGTTCCCCGCGCGAGACCCCGACCACGCTCAGGCGAGCGGGAGCTACTGGGGGCGGTGCCAGCGAGCCTTGAGAGGCCAAGGCCGCGGCGCGCCACCTGCGTCAGCGGCTTCATCAACGCCACTGCTGATCATTATGTCATCCTCGGCGTCCTCAGCATCATACGCTGCACCTCGAGCGTGAGGGGTAACGGGAGGACGATGCGCCTGGTCTCGTCCTCTTTTTCCGACGCGCTCGCCGTGATCGGTTGAATGAGCGGATCGTCAAACAGCGAAGCGGGGGATGATCCTGGTGAAGGTCCCGCCAGGATCATACGAATGATGTAGCATCGTCCCACGACGATCTTACTTGGATCCTACCAGGGTGCCGTGACTTGGGCGGAGATGTGCAGCAAGACGTGCACGGGGCACCTCACCACCCAGGACTGGGGTTACGTGCCGCCTTTCAACCTCGCCTTCTGATCTCCACATTCGCCATCATGTTCAGTATTGCCTTCATCAGCGTCATAATCTCGTCACGTCACGTCATCATCCTTACTTACCGCCGCTAATCTTCATCGCCAGTCGTCGCCATCATCATTGTCGGTACCATTTTTAGTGACAGCGATTTGGAGACGGATGTTTGGGGTAAAACAGTAATGGCATCGCCCCTGGGTTGCTTCAGTTTGATATGCGGCGTGTGTGAACAAGTAGGCGTTTTGGGGCAATCTCCAGCTGGCGTGGCTGGATCCCCATGCTTACCTCGGCCCTCCGCAAGCCATCTTCTATGATCGGAGACCCCCTGCAACAAGGGCGCCCTCGAGGGCGCGAAGTTATTCGCGCTTCGCGCTTCGCGCTTCGCGCTTCGGCTCCGATTCCTCCTCATCCTCCCCTTCTCCCTTGGGAGGTGGCGTGAGAGTGCGAAGTTAGTCGCGCTTCGCGCTCCGCGCAGCGCGAAGCGCGAAGTTGGGAGCCCCTGCTGCAAGCCTGGCTGCATCCGGCGGGGTGCCTGTGGATTGCACCACCGGCAAGTCTCAGTCTGGACCTTAAGCGCCGTCTCTGCGTGCCACCCTGCGCTCCCGCAGCGGTGATCGCGAAGCGTGGAGGCGCAGCCAGCTGCTGAGGAGGAGGAGGAGGAGGAGGAGGAGGAGGAGGAGGAGGAGGCGGAGGCGGAGGAGGAGGAGGAGGAGGAGGAGGAGGAGGAGGGAGGAGGAGGAGGGGAGGAGGAGGAGGAGGAGGAGGAGGAGGAGGAGGAGAAGGAGGAAAACCAGACTCGATGTAAGATGGCGCGGCGGGCATATCTCATTCCAGAGCTGAGGTCGGCCGAGCCATCCTCCCCGCCCCCTTCCGCAGGCCTTTCCAGCCGGAGGCCACGAGAGGTGGCAGTTCTCCATGCCGCGCCACCTTTTAGGAGCCGACAAGCATTGCTGTCTGGTCTGCCTGGTAGGTCTCCCGGCGTCCTGTCCATCGCGTCTGCTGCCATCTTCACGCCTAGGGAATGGCTTGCCCCTGGAAGAGTCTTGCGTCCTCTCGGGTGTCCTCTACTATCAGTCTCGAGTGTAAGGGTGGCGAACTGGCTGCAGGCACTCGCAGCTGAAGCCTGGGATTCTGCGTGAAGAGGTGCACAACTTGGTGCCGCTTTTCCCGATGGTCTGTCAGCTTCCGCGTGTCTACATCAACCTCTGCTCCAGCGAGCATGCCATTAATTACCTCATGCTTCGTTGAAGTCCGCTTCTCTGGAATCCATCGGCCCTCCCCCTGGCGTAAGTAGCTCTCTGGCAGAGTACCCCTGGGCTGTCGGGCAGGCAAGGAAAGCGGGTCGGGATCGATGCAGGGCTCCAAAAGCAGGTCGCTTGCTCGCTGGGGCTGGCCTCAGCACTCGTGCTAGCGTGCCGGTGCTGACGGTGGTGCGGCGGGGCGGGTGCCAGTCGAGGTGATGGGGCCCCGGCCAGTCGTGGTTGTGGTGGACCTGTCGCTAGTAGTGGTCCTTGCTCTTGCTCTTGTCCTCCTCCCGCGCGCGTCAGCGCCCCCCGCTTTCGCTGAAGGGCGTCCCGGCATCCCTTCTTCTCTTACATCCTCCTCCTCCTCCTCCTCCTCCTCCTCGTTCTCCTTCCCGTCGTCGTCCTCCTCCTCCTCAGAGTCGGTGTTAGGTCGCCTTTTTTTCTGTGATTGGGGCACTGTACCTCGAGATCGCTGAGGCTCGAGACGTCCATCACCATGGCAGAGGAGAAGATCCCGAAGGCGCGACCGCGCGGCAGCTGTGGGGGCGAGGGCCTCCCTGGACAGGCAGGGGCATGCTGGCGGACGCGTGGGGGGGGTGGGGGTGGGTGATCTGGTGTGCCGTCGGAGGGGCTCTGGTGACCGGGGTGAAGTGCTCTTCCTTCTGCTCCTCCTCCTCCTCCTCCTCCTCGATGCCGCTCCGAGTCTCTGGTCGCTCGGCTCTCGTTTCGCCTTCGTGTGTCGATACGTGGAGACGGGCTCTCTTGGTCTGCAGGCGGTTTCGCGTCATGCACACCCCCGGCAGTGCCGCCCCTGGCGGACTTTCGAGGACATCCGAGTTCCGAGTTCCGAGTTCTTGACGGAGCCCCCGAGGGAGCGTGCTCGGGTGGGCGGCGAGGAAGCAGTGGATGCCATCTTGGGTGTCTTGCAGCGATCCTTCGGGAGGTCGTCTTGGGAGGGCACAGCATCCAGAGGAACAGCAGAAAACACTTCAAAACTTGCGGGAGAAGCGCCAGAAGACCCCAGAAGACCCTGGAAGATTCCAGGACGGCTCAGAATTCGTGCGTTCCAGGCCCTTCAAGAAACTACAATTCTGGGTGCAGCAGCAGCACAGCTGTGAGCCCTGGGGAATTCCACTTCGTGGCAGAGGCACGGTGGCGGATACATGCCCTTTCCTGGTCTTGGCTCTGCTTCTGCTCTCTCACAGGTGACGTCTGCCCTGGAGGAGGCCAAGTCCAGGAAGGCGCAGCTCGACTCCGACATCAAGAAGCACAAGGCGCACGCCTCTGCCGGGGGTGCGCCCAGGAGGCCGGGGCGCGTTGGGTGTCCACGAGTTTCGCTGCCCCCGCCTTTCGCCCTGGCAGGGGGACCAACATTCGGGGGTTGCAAACGCTGCCCCTGGCCCAAGGTGACCCCCCCAGCTTTCCGCCCCTGTGTGGGGCTCCTGGGGGCCCCTTGGGCCTCGTGAGGGGTGCTCTGGAGCCTCTCTGGAAATCCCGGGGGGCACCGTGGGCCAGAGGGCACTTCTGTCACCGAGCGCGCTCCACTGCTCGCAGAGTGCCTGCTCGCAAACTTTCGAAACGAAACTGTTCGCCTCGATGTTGTATAGCGTAAATTCCCCCCGGCGGATCGAGGCCATTTGCGAGTAGCTTTAAGTCGGGCCTGTCCCTCCACAGGGGGAATATTCAAAATAGTCAAAAGATGGCCTGGGGATGATTGTTCTAACATTTTTTTAATGTTTAAAAATATATAAAACATGTTCTTCCAAAATCCCCCTGTAGGGGGACAGGCCCGACCTAAGAGTAGCGGAACGCGCTTGTCTGCTATTCTGGCGGCGCCCTCCGTGGCCGCGCCCGCCAGCGGCCCCCGCGCTCTCCCTGGTGCGCTTCGCTCGGGCGTGCCCCCCTACAGGAGGAATGCTCCAGAGGGTAAAAAGAAAATGGCCTCGGGTTCTGATGTTCCAGCCTACTTTGAAGTCGGGCGTGTCCCCCTACAGGGGGATTTTCGACGAAAAGTTCACAATACCACAGAAATGCCCCCAAAAGGAAAAAATATAAATAAATAGTCCCTCGACCATTTTTGGATTATTTTTTGATTATTTTTTGGGTATTTTTCGTTTTTCGTCGAAAATCCCCCTGTAGGGGGACAGGCCCGACTTACGCCTACTTTCGCCTTGGCCACCAGAAAGACTGCCGAGCACCAGAAAATTACCAGAGCTCAAGGGTTGTCACGTGTCGGGCCCTGGGAGACTCGTCCGACACTGTTTCGACACTGTTTCGACACTTTTCCGGGTGATGGAAAGTATTTCTGGGATGTGGTCCTTGAGTACGATAGGAGCAACATAAGCCTCGGGACGATTGTGCTTTCTTATAATAAAAAATAGAAGAATATGTTCAGCATTTGTTGACTATCTTTTAAAATTTTCGTTCAAGATCTCCCCCTGCAGGGGGACGCCCGACCTGACGGTGCACCCTTCGGGCAGGTCGTGCCCCACGGTGAGCTCCAGCGCCCTCCCTTTGGTCACGCCACGCGCGGGGGGGGGGGCTACGGTCGAGTCGGGGCACGCTTCTCTGCACGCGGGATATACAAACAAAGTCAACAACGTAGTCATTTTTTTTTTTTTTTTTTTGTGTGTGTGTATGTGTCTGTTAGTTTGGGGTATATTTTTTCTTTTCCTGTTTCGTTTAGTCATATCTGTTCCTCCAAAATCCGCCTATGGGAGGACACGCCCGACCTAAGGCTATGGGGGATGGGGGACGTCTTCGTCGAAGCACCTCTGCTTCTTAGAAGGCGCGGGCCTTGTCTACAGACGGAAGGGCCGGCGCCTTCTGAGAAGCAGCCTCCTTCTAATGAGCCGTCCACCCTCTCCTCCCCCTACCCCCTTGTGCGCGCCGTCAACATGAGCTCCAGCTCCCCCCCTCCCGCAGCGTGCGGTCCACTCAGCCCGCTTCTGGCCACAGGGATATGTCCGTTCTGTGAGTCGAGGAGCGCGTGAGCCCCCCCACGTGCTAAATCACCGCATTCTATGCGCACTCGAGGAACTAGAGCTAACTTGTTGATTTCAGTTTCGGCCGAACTCAGACTCGTGTTCCTGATGAGCCCGCCGCCGCCGCCTCCTCCCGCGGCGTGCACTTTCTGGAACAAGTGTGGCCGAGGGCCAAGGGGGCGTCACGCGCCGTGGAATGGCTCCTCCCCCCAAAATCGTTCCCCGGACCTCTTCCGTCGAGCATTTTGAGCAGGAGGAGGAGGAGGAGGAGGAGGAGGAGGAGGAGGAGGAGGAGGAGGAGGAGGAGGAGGAGGGGCGTTACGCGCCAGGGAATGGCTCCTCCCCCCAAAATCTTTCCCCGGACCTCTTCCGGGGAGCATTTGAAACAGGAGGAGGAGGAGGAGGAGGAGGAGGAGGAGGAGGAGGAGGATAAGGATAAGGCCCTTGGGGGTCTGGTCTCGCCGCCTACCGAAAAAGGCATGTTGACCCCTGGGGAACATATGGATGCGAGCCCACCCTAGCTTTGGGGGGGCCGCCTGAGGCGACGGGGCCCGTCCTTCTGTTGGACGTGGTCCCCGAGCCTCGCTAGCAGGGAGACCCTGCCTCGGTTTCGGCCTGTCGACTGTTGCAGGCGATGTGGGGCTGCCTCGCTGGGCGCACCCCTCACCGCTGAGAGCCCGCCCACCTCCGCCCCCCTCCTCCCCCCGCTCCCCCACTCCCTAGACGGTAAAGAGAGGCAAAAAAAAGAAGAGGCGGCCTGGTACTCCCTGCACTCGGCTTATGTAGTGCATGGCCGCACTGGCTCATGCGGTGAGTGCTTGCTGCCGAGCCCCCCCTCATGCGGTGAGTGCTTGCTGCCGCTGCCGCCCTTGGCGAAGAGAGCCTGACGTCCCTGCTCTGAGCGGAGCCGTCGGCCTTAGTGACTGCGGAGGCGGCGGCTGGGGTGCTCGAGCTGGCCTCACTGCTCAGAACCTTGCCACGGTTCTCCCAGCCCTCGATGCTCTTGCTCGGGTTGGTGCACGGCGGCCTGCGAGCGGGCTGGAGGTAGTCCTTGATCTCCATCTGCGGCTCCATCATCGGCTCCGTCTGCATGTCGCAGGCGAAGAAAGCCTCGTCGTAGGCGTAGCCGTGCGGGCCCTTCGTCCAGCGCGTGTATATGTTGTCGATCTCGTCGGCCTGGCGCCTCGTGAAGTCCAGCTCCCATGGCATCGGCCCGTGCATGGTCTTGCCCATCTTGTCTTCGGTGATGCCGATGGCGCTCCTCATCGAACTGATGGCGCAGTTGATGTCGTGGAGCTGCTCCTTGAGGTAGAGCTTCGCTTGGCTGCGCTCCGCTTCTTCATATGGATTGAGGCTCTTCGCGTTCATGCGGCCTAAGGTGGTCACCACCTTCTCCCGCTGCTTGTGGAGCGCGTGGAGGGCCTTCTCGCAGTGCTCGGTCGCCACCTTGAACGCGACGGCGGTGCTCTGGAGTGTGTTGTGCGCGATCTCGAGCCTGTACGCCGCCGTGCCCGCCACTTGGTCCGCCACTCCTCCCATGCCTCCTCTGTCGTGCGGCTTCTGCACTATCGTCGGCTGCAGATGATCTTCTGCAGCAAGCTGCTGCGCCATCTCCACCTTCTCCGTGTGCGCCTGCGCCGCCATCGCTGCTCTGGTCGTGCGCCCTCTGGGCGCTGGCTCTGGATGTAGGCGGAGTGTCCGCCAGCACTGGATAGGGAGGCCGCGAAGATGCTCGAGTCGCAAATGTCCTCTGGTAGTATGTCGAGCTGTGTACCGATCCTCGTTTACCTTAGTGGTTCCCGCCTACTGTTGTACACCTTAGGTATTGTAGTAGTTTCCTTAGTTCCCAGTGGTTGGGCCGTAAGGAACCGTAGTAGGACCTTGATGTGAGAGTAGGCGTAGGCACGGTTGTTTGCTGCTGTCGGAATCCTGTGCCTTTCCTTAGTGTGCGACTCTTACTCACTCTATCCTCTGGAGGTCGAGAGAGGTAACAGTTGTGATAGCTAAAGCGGGCAAGAGCTGGATGTATCTGAGCGGGAGAGGAGAGGTCGAACCGTGGTCGGATCACAATCGCATGGCTGTGCTGGATGCTGTGGTGTGGTAGTTCCCTGTGTATGCTGTCATAGTACGCGATGTGTACCCTGTAGCATGTACTGTCGTTCTGTATACTGTCCGGTACGAGGTCGCAGATACGTCGGCTTCGAGCGTGCATCAGCGATACTGTATGACAGACAAACCCCGAATGTGAGTGGCACTAGTAGAGAGCTGATTGCCTGAGGATGAGATGGTAGGTTGGGCAGTGGGAGTTGGTGGGGGGAGGGGGCGTAGGTAGTGGGAGCCCGTGTAATTGTAGGGTGACGGCTGCATAATTAGAAAGTCCGCCGTCCCCCTCATTTTTTTGCCATAGGCTGGTAATAGTCCCTTGGTCGTAGGTCCCGATAGTACGTAGCCATCCGATATAGGTATGCCATCTGGCCTCCGTGTTGTTCGGCCTGGCTTCTGAGACTCGTCATACGAACAAGGTCTGCACTAATCAGCTGTGCAATTTTTTCCTCTCGGCTCACTGGCGGTGATGATGGTGGCCAGGCACGAGGGCGCCCCATGGAGTTGAGGCGTGGCTCGACGGCGCTGCTCGACAACGAGCTGCTGGCTCCGCTGGGCTGCGGGCCTGGCGGGAGCTGGCCCGCGGGGCTCTCTCGCTCGCGGCGGGGCGAGCTGCTGGGCATTGGCTGGGGTGTGCCTTGGCTCACCTCCTGTTGAGCTGCGCCTCCACTGCCCTCTCCAGGCCCGTCTTCGGGCCTCCTGAGCGGCTCTTCGTGGCCCCGAGGTGCGCCAACGCGTGGCCCAGGGCCTGCTTGAATATGTCCCCCTTGAAGCCCGCGATCTTGTCGTACTGCTCCTGCTCCAGCTTCTGGTCGTACAGCACGGCCCTGAAGCTCGGCGCCGTGTTGATCGTGTAGATGAGCTTGGCCTTGCACTGTTTGATGTCCATCTCCACGTCCTCGCCCGTCTTGTTGTATGCCTCCTGGATCTTGCACTGCAAGAAGACCTCCGTGATGAAGATTGGTCCCCAGGGCTCGTCGAGCTGGCTCATGAACTCCTTCAGGAGCTGTCTCACGTGGAGGAGGGACGCGTCGAGCTTCTGCTCCTCCGAATCGAGCACCGCCACGATCTCCTCGACTAAGCTCGCCGCCACCTGGCCATGCGGTGGGCCGAGGCCGTGCCCCTTGCCCAGCTGCTTTACCTTCCGCCCGTACTCCCTGCCTGTCTCCATCGGCGCCTGCACCCAT